TTTCTTCATACCTTTGAAACTTTATCTAAATAATCCAATTGTTTAATATTATCATATGTTAAGCGTTCACCATGTTTCGCATAGCACTCGTCAATTTCTGCACGTAATTTGTCTTGTATTTTCGGATTTAATGCTAATTCATAGAGCGCATTACTCATAGTCGTTGACGAGGTTTCAAAACCAGCAAGGAAAAATACAAATGCTTGAGAAGCTATTAAATTATCCGTCAATTCTGTAATATTTTTCCTCTTTATTATAAACAATTTAATTCACCCTTCAATTAATGAATCAAATTTATTAATTTATATATAAATATAATTATATATAAATATATATAAATATTTAAATATAATTTATATATAAATATTATATTCCAATAAATAAATGTATACAAATTATATATATTATATTATATATATATAAATATATATATATATATATATAATATATATAAAATATATATATATATATTATATATATTATATATAAATATTATACAAAAAATATACATTACATAAACCAAAATATTCAAACAAGGAAATAGATAAATCAAGATATTACTTTTAACGGCTATTAATCTTTTAATTTTTAAATTTATTAAATAAATTCATGAAACATATAACTTTTATTGTCACCTATGTATCGTTTATTTTACGGTTTCTTAATTATATTCGAACTATTGTGTAGTTAAAATCTTATACAGCACATTTTATCCAAGGAATGTCTCGGAAGTTAGGATGTTTTTTATCCGTAGGATGTTCTCTGGACATTTCTAGGACATCCCTTGGAGATCTGTGTTATATGGGATACAGTCATAATATATTAATGAAAACGAAAGTTGATTACTACTTGTATGATTTCGTCATTTAAAAAATTGTTCCACACCAGGAAGAAGCAATATATAGGTGTTTACCGATACCATGTACTTACTGATATCATCCAATTGATCTGGATTTTTCTTTAATTCACGCAATGTATCAATGAAATCGTGCCTGGTAATGTTATTCATATCTCTGTATTCCATGCTCTCCACGATAACACGTGTAAAGAATTTAGTAATTTCTGATTGTGGTAGAATGTAACCAAGTAAGTTGTACAGTCCTGGTACTATTTGTCTTATTCTTGCTCGCATGACATTTGTCCAGTTCGGTTTAAATACCTTTCTACCCATCTTACGAAATTCACTATCTTCGTCCGACATTGAATTCATCTCGATACCGAAGGCACAGCTACCGATAACATCAGTCGTATATTTGGCCATCAACTCGCGACATTCAATGGGTTCGTTTTTACTTGTGACTTTTTCCGTATATTGTACAAGATGATCAGCGCATTCGGATATTAAAGAGAACATCTCCTTCAATTTACCAGATGTAAAAACAGGCGACAGTTTCATTCTTAAGGGTCGCCATCTCTTCGGCTCCAAAGAGAAAAGATGCAGCGAAAGAGGATCGGCCTACGATATAACAAAATCAGAATTGTGATCAAATTTAGCTGAAGGAGAATACTTAAGTTACAGAAACTTGTATTTTAATGCAAATCTCATAATTTTTACTGTGCCTCATCATTTAAAAAATATATAAAAGCATACAAAATTCAAAGTTGAGTGGTTTTTTTATATTAAATAAATGGTTTTATATTAAATAAAGTTAATGACTTGATTAATTAAATTAAATTAAAAATTATATAGACAAAAAGTGAATTTAATTAAAATTAAATTAAAATTAAAGTAAATTAAGTAAAGTTAATTTAAAAGTTAATCTTAAAAAACATTATTTATATTAAATTATAATACAACATAAAATTAGACTGCTTTAAAGGATGAAACAATTATGAAATAAAAAGGGTATTTTAACAGGTATTTAGTTAAAATTAAAAGTTGACATGTTTAAAAATTAAATAAGATAAATTAAAAGTCATTAATTTTTTAATTTTCTTATTTAATTTTATTATTAATTAATTTAAAATCAATTAACTAATTCTTATTCGATCTTAATTAAGTGTTTAAAGAACTGTGCATATGTCTCATTTATCCTTCAAAGAATTGTATAAAATAAGTATGATAATCTTACCTTTTCTGAAATGGGAATTCCTCTATCAGCAAACTTAGAAAAATCTTTAATGAGGACATCCTTAATTAAATCTGGATCTTTTATTATAAGAACAGGTGTCTTCCTAGTGTATATTCCAATCATTGGTTCATCTTTGTAGTCATTATATACTTTCATCAAATAATCACCCATGGATATCTTTGTAAGCATAACATCTTTAAAATTACCGAATCCCGGTATCGGTCGTGGACCAGGAACGCCACGCGATTTCCAAAAGTCATAGGATGATGTAAGGAAATAATAAAGACCGAGAATTATAACGGCAATGCCGCATAATATCTCGAAGAGTTCCATTATTCAATAATCAAGTGATCCTGAAAAAATAAAAAATAAGAAAAAACAGCATTCTATTAAATTTAAAATTTTATTTTAAAAATTAATAAAGTTTGACAGTATTTAATAAAAGGTGTCTTTTTAATAAAACTTAAATTAAGAAATTTATATATAAAGAGATAAATTTAAATTAGGTTTCAACAAATTTTGAGATCATCAATACTGATCGTGAAATTATTTTTACACTTTTAGTATATTATTTAGTATATTATAGTGCAAGAATAAATATTATTTTGGACAGATAATTTTGTTTTAAAACAATATATTTGGTTTCTAATAATTATCGATGAGAAAAATCCTTATATTTATGCATAGCTTAAAATTCATTTGTATTGTTAATAATGTTAATAATAAGTAATCAATTTTGTGATATATGTACACACACACACACACACACACACACACACACACACACACACACACACACACACACACACACACACATATATATATAACGTAAAATTTTGATGTATTAATAATTCTTACGTGAGTAATATTTAATATATTATAGTACAAAAATGTTTTTTTAAAAGGCAATATTATTTTAAGATATATTTGGTTTCTGATAATGACCATCCATAGTGGTATAATTGTTGACATAATAATCATGTTACTATTATAAATATATAATGTATAGATATACTAACTAAATTGCATATTAATTGCATATTGTATTAAGTCCTGCTTTTTATGTTTCTTAATCAATTTAGGTAACGAGATGTGTGTGTGTGTGTGTGTGTGTGTGTGTGTGTGTGTGTGTGTGTGTGGAGGGTGGTAGTGTAAAATTACTAGTTAATGGTTATATTAATTATTATTCATAAGGCGATATATATGTACATATACATGTGTAATAACAAAATTACATGTAATATAAAAAAAAAAAAACGCTAAATGAATTATGTTTGCACAAACACGCAACACGTTACGATATCAAAGTGATATTATGCAAATCATCATCTATCTATAATTTACGCTTTAAGTTTTAATTTATTACCGGTTAAACAAATACAATTTTTCAATTCAATTGGATGATCTCACGATTTCTGTCGACTAGCGTCGATTGTTTAAACTTAAGCTTAAGAGAAAAATTTTTCCACTTAGCACCAGCCACTGAGCGCCAGACACGAGGAGTGATCTTGATATCTCATGCGAGTATTGTTGGAGTAAACAGATAAAAGAAGCAGGCAGTGAAAGATCGTTCCTTCACTTTAGCAAACTGCAGTTTGCAAGAGAACGTCCTCGACCTCGAGCGGTACCATCTACCAACGAAGTGGGGATAAAATAGCAAAGGCGTAATAGATGTGGATATAACAGTGCTGTTTTGATGACGATTATCCGCGTCTATCATACAGGAAGAAATAATTGGGCACGCGTAATTGGATGCACATAATTGGATTGCGATAATTGAATTGCGTACACGCGCGCGATACAAAAGCCGAATAGCCGTGATAAGAAATTCGACCATTGGAAAGCGCGTCGTTAAAATGTTGGAATGCTCCACTTGTAATTCATGATATAATACTTGAGAAATTGATAATACTGTTCGTTAATAAGATGATGGCACCGACTACCGATTCGTTCGGTTCGATGACACGGTGTCTCGGACGACGAAAAGGGGTCACAGGATCTTCCCTGCTTTTCCATTAGAAACGTTTACGGTGCTTATTTTTTGTACTTGATGATGAATGAATGGGCGTGTGACGTGGGCGATTTCTCTCGAGAGAAACATACATACGAGGATGAGACTACGTTTCTTTTCTCTTTTCTTCTGCGGCCGTCGGTCTGAAAGTGAGTTACCGAGGTGGATGTACCTGAATGCGGACGACTATGCGGTGTATTCGCGTCCGCGATGTCGCTTTATATCAGCTTATCCTCGTCGCAGTAATTATGAGAGAAGTACTGGATAGGAGTACGCTTGTACCAGCTCTCAGTGAACTCTAGATAACAGCAACTCGAGATAACACTGACTGTTGTCGTTCAAGTTAAGTCGAATTATTATAGGTGGTGCGCTCCAGGACTGGATGAAATTTCTACTGGGTACTTTTCGATTTACATCTAAAAGGCCAAATGTAAAATACTTTAAAAAATGCAAAATATGGGAATAGATTTTTCAAATCCATTTTAAATATAAATAGGTCCTTTAAATGGTTTTTAAATGCAAATTGATTTTTCCTTGTATATGCAGTTTTTTGGGTATTCATACATTTTATTATTTCTATTTTTATTTAAGCAAATGCTGTTTGTTTTGAGCAGCAGTTATTTCTTCAAATGTATCATCGTGCATACTTCGACGATTAAATTAAATACATATTTAAAATGGAACTATTTCAAATGTTCAAATCCAGTTCTGGCTCCAGTGATAAAAAAGATGCGTGTGTGAGTCATGATGAATTGTAGAAACGGTATCTTCGCGAGCCTTTGGCATCAAATACGCAAATACGCTACCGTGACTTTGCAACTAATGATTTGTAGAAAAGCTATCGATGATTAGATAAGATTTTGTTGTCGCTTTAATCGCGAACATTTGCATACATGTGTAAGCATTAAATGTTGAGTACTCACTTCTAATACTTCGAAGTTATAATTACTTGTAAGGTGAACTGTGAATAAGTAATCAAACGCATACCTTGAAATAATTTTTCCCACTGGATTGAACTGAAGAGTGTTTAATCTTTTTGGCGACTATATAGTCAACTGTAAATGATAATGCGAAAGGAAAAGGGGGATGAACAGGTTTTTGCAAAAAACGAAAAAAATCAATTTGCATTAGGGATCTCAGACGTTTAAGTTTTAATTGAGCTCAATCTTTTCTCTGTTCAGATATCCATGAAAACTCAAAATGTGCGATACTGTAAAAATGTCATTATTATTAACAAACATGTTAAATAAAATATTTAAACTCATAGAGATTTTTTTGATGAATTAGAAAGTCAGCACAAATTTTTTTGAATTTCATTTCTCCACGTACAGTAGATTTGTTTATTTAGAACTAAAAGTTTTTATTATTGATAAAAATAATTAGAAAATTTATTTTAAGAAATTCTCCGCGGAGAAATACGTGATTACATAATTCAAAGTTATAATTAACTGAACATTTTTTTCGCAGATTTGCATCTTGAATTTTGCAACATAATCATGATGAAATATTTATCATAAATCTTGATTAAGAATCATTATTCAAAATAATTGTCTCTAACGAAGATTCAGTTAGAGACAACTTTACTAAATTTAAAAGTTACAAATTAAAAATTTTTAGTATCAATGTCCATTTCTATATATATATATATATAGATTAATTTTAATCTTAGTTTAATTTATTTTTACTTTTTTAATTCTAGTATGAAAATTAGAAAGAATACACTTCAGAGGGTTGGTTTATGCTTCGGTCTTAATTTTAACTTTAAAAGTTGGAAATGAAGAATTCTATAAGTCATTTATGCTTTAAGACTAGGAGAAACATAACGACTTTATGGAATTCATTTCCAACTTTTAAGGTTAAGACTAAAACCGAAACATTGAGTTCTATAGTATACTGTGACCCTTCCCCATTGAGCTCTATAGTATACTGGAGTGACCCTTCTCTCATAGACTTTGGGTGCTTTTCAACAAGGAGAGTTTGGTATTACACAGTGTGACACAGAGAGATACTGAGCTAGATACTGTAAGTACAGTTATAGAGTTTAATTGGAACACATAAGTTATTAAACACGCTCACTAGAGAGCGTAAAAGATTGTGACGTAGGAGAAGATTATCACGCATAAACATGAGCGTATTTTTTCGTTATTATTATCCATTACTGCCAGTGTATTTTTTGAAGAATTATTGATACATACTGAAATAAATTTAAGTAAATTATATGTATTGATTATTTCATTCCTGGCTACAAAGCGCTTTATTTTATATTTGTGAAATAACTATGATCTTTTCGATTTGATATTACATGGAATCTCATTCATTTCAAGGGTGAGTATAATTCTTTTTCTCTTTCAAGAAAAACTTCTTTTCCTTTGAAACAAGCATGATGCTTAACATCATCTAATGTAGAAATAATTCCAATGCCGACAAAAGAACATATCTGCATTAAAAATTAATCCAATAGAATTTGTACTAATAATGGGTCTTCAACAAATACGTAATGTTTTTAAGCTTATATAGTTCTTTAAATAAAAAAAACTGAATATTGATTACCTAAGAATTCCGAGTTCGGTACTACGTTATTCGAATGCGACAGACATTTTTTGATAAAGAATGCGTTCCGTTTCTCGCATGATACGCGTGATGTATCATTTATCCTTATCACAATACATTAAACAAGGATAAATTATGCGCATCATGCAAGAAACGGAACAAGTATCCAAAATAATGACCGGATATTCATAATAATGACCGGAATGTATATATTAGTACCACACTTAAAAAATAATTTTGCTTGATATGTTGGCACTATTGACGTCCGACATGGCCAAACTTAGGATTGAGCTGTGTTTCGCAGTGTCGTTCTGTGTCTCTCTGTGTCATAGATGGAAAGCACCAGTAGACACTGTGTTACACAGTGTCGCCTATGTATGTGTTGAAAAGCATCCCTTATATGTATGGACTGGTAATACAGATATGATTATGCCGCGGGAGGTTGGAGAGAGAAACGTCTCTCTTTTTCTAAGTGTCCGGAAATACATTTTGCGCATGCTTGACGTATACTATACATTAATGCATTCTTATTGGTGTATACCTTATGCAAGTTAAAGGAAAATTTGAGATTATTTGTACATTATTTGCAGAGTATTTGCGGAATATCGATAGGAATATCATATTATATTTCTAAAAAGAAATAATGGTTCGAAAGTGTGTTATTTGCAGAGTTATTCTGCAGAAAATAGTGTTTCTTTTTATTTGTAAGTAATAATGAAGCAGGACTATTGTAAAGTATATATTAAGCATACTTTAATAATTGTAGAAGCATTTGTGCAATTTTTTTATTTTACAAATAAATAAATTTTATAAATTTTGAGAGCTATAAATTATAAATTCAATTTAATTATCATATTCTTAATATATAATATAATATATAATTAATATATAATTCTTAATATATAATTCTTAGAAAAAAGTTATTTAATTGTTTTATTTGAAATTAAAAAAAAATTTACATTCTATTACCCACTTTTTTAACAGATTTTATTACATTAGATCATTAGGTTCGCATTGCTTAGAATTTTCGATATTTAAAATAGACTATTATATTTAATAGTAAATATATTTGTGAGCAATGGAAAGAAAAAAGAACAAGAAGCTTAAGTGCATTAAGTATAAACAACATAACGAACCGCCTATTTATAGAAAACCATTTATTATTAGTCTCAAAACATTTATTGTTCAAAATAATTATAACTATCATATTTTTCCAAAAACTCGCATTTTTAAAAGAAAATTATTCTTCTATAATTTCATTATTTAAAAAACGAGTGTATTGTGTATTATGTATATAAAATAAAACAACATTAGAAACTATATATAA